ACTGGACTGCCTCTCTTGGAAATGATGACCAGGCATTTTGGGCTTTGAGTGCCATGCTGGCAGCAGAGGTCCGGTTCCCAGATCCACCAAAGGATGACGCTCGACAATGGCTGGCACTCGCCCAAGCCGTCTTCAACACGCAAGCCCATCCTGATCGGCACGATGACACATGCAATGGTGGTCTTCGCTGGCAGGTTCCGCCAAGTAATAACGGATACAATTACAAGAACAGTAGGCTATATCGCTTGACTCTCCTACCCGAGATATTGGTTCTAACCTCCCATGCACAGCAATCGCCAATGCCTGTTTCTTCAACATAGGCGCACGGCTTGCGCGATACACGAACAATGACACATATGCGGAATGGGCACGTGTGACTTATGACTGGCTAAGAGGTGTAGCATATATTGATGAGAAGTACAACGTATACGATGGAGGCCACGTCGAACATAACTGCACAGACATCAACAAAGCCCAGTTTTCTTATAACTCAGCGATGCTGCTACAGGGAGCAGCTTTCATGTACAACTATACTTCTGCTCTTGACAAGCAAGACGAAGTCGCGCATTGGGAAGCCGAAATTCGGGGATTGCTTAACGGGACGCTGCGAATCTTCTTTCCCGACAATATTGCCTTCGAACCTGCTTGCGAGATTGGCATGACTTGCACCAGCGACATGCTCTCGTTCAAAGGATACGTAGCGCGGTGGATGGCCGTGACCGCCCAAATCGCTCCTTTCACACGTGATAGCATCATGCCCGTCCTAAGGACGAGCGCTGAGGCTGCTGTGAAATCGTGTGCAGGTGGTGACAACGGACGGATGTGTGGTTTCAAGTGGTCCGAGGCAGCGACAATTGGCTGGGATGGTACAAGCGGAGCAGGTCAACAAATGAATGTATTGGCAACCCTCACGAGTCTTTTGATAACGGATAGAGTTAACGATGGCGATGAGGCCGGAGGCAGTGGAGGACCACCAATCACGAACTCTACTGGAGGAACAAGTGGTGGCGACGCAGCCTCTGGTTATGGAGATGATCGTCCATGGGAGCGTCAAGAAACCCCTATCACCACGGCTGATCGAGCAGGAGCTGCCATCCTCACAATTGTTACCATTGGCTCTTTTCTGGCAGGATGTGCGTGGGTGTCGTTAGACCGGGACTGAGACCAAATACATCGACGGGATAATTCACTGGTGTCAAGGAGTCAGGTGTTCCTCGGATAATTGATTTCAGAGATTTATGTTTAGAGATGAATTCAAAATTCAGCATGGTTGTATCAAACGCATCGAGGCGAAGAGCTATTCGAACATTGAAAGTAAAATCAAGCACATCTTTGTGCAGGTCTGTGGTTAATATTGAGGCAGTGTAAGCTGCTGGAAGTTTGATTCTCTGAGAGCCTTGACTGAACCCCTTTCTATATACGGGAGGTTTAATTGATCTCCCCAAGACGAAGGTAATGGAAGAACCGTAGTGTCCGGGGTTTTCCAAGTATCCCAGTTGTCAGAATGCTCTGGAGTATCAAAATGCGTACTTTTAACCTCATGCTTACTCTGCTTTTTTGGTCTGTCCCGGTGCAAGCTTATAGCTGCCTGAGGGCATTTTCACCGCCGGAACCATTTGGACAGGCTTGAGATCGACGAGGATTGCTAATGCACTATTTGTAGGGGCCTTTGCTTCAACACCCGCGGCTGGTTGGAGGCTAAAATTGTACTCGACTATGTATTCTGCATTGTTTGTAATTTCAACGCTTTGATACCTACACTCTAAGGTTGAACAAGCCTTTCGAGATTCCATTTCAAAAGCTAGGCCTGTTGCTGTTCTTGAGCTAAGAAGATGATGTCGACGATCGCGATGATACTTCTCTACATGAGCCTTCTTGAACACATAGTATCAGCAATGCTTCGCCTCGATTAATTAGGTGCCACTGCGAAGATGCGTCAAATTAGAAGCACAGTCGCGAAATGTCATTTCAGACACGACCTCATCAGAGCCGTTATCACTTAATGGTTTTAGTCGCAAGAGACTTGGGACATCTTTAGTGACTCTAGAAAACGATAGGTATCTAATTGATGACGGATCTATTACTGAGGCAAAAATAGCTGAGTCTACAAACCTTCAAATTGGTGCGGAACTGATCCATCCTAACACGTGCAACAAGATCGGTTTGTTCAAATGAGAAAATAGAGAATCAAATCACAATCTGGAGATACGCTGGTCTTTCTGACTTCCAAGGCCGATTCCTTCGGTTTATCTTATGCTATTTCGGTTTTGAACATTGAGAAAGAAACAAAGGCGATTCTTGAAATTCCTCTTCAGCGGTACTGAGTGACTTAAAGTTAGGCTAAATGAGCCACCTCTGAGTTGTGACGCCACTTTGGGTACAGAGCTGTCGGTGCCGACTCGGCAAGCCGTTTACTATCCCCGTAAACACCGCCAAGAACGACAATCCAGCAATTACGATAATTAATTAGATGTTCAAAGTAGCGGAGAAATTAAACTCGTCCATGACTTGAACAAGACTCACTACCGTGCCTTGAATGACTATGGTATTTACAATCCCGGGAACCCACAGACCCAAATGGCTCCAACACCAAGCGAGAAGGAAATCGAGCCAACAGATAATCAACAATCGGTCGAGACCCCTGGCCCGAGAACAGATACAGCGCAACTTAACAATAATATTGATACGGCAGAGCATAACCCCGGGAATATGCTTCAAAATGAGTTGACACAGGAATTGCCCGCTTATTCTGTCTTCTCAAAGAAGACGAAGGTGTTTCTTATTCTCATGACCGTGTTCAGCACCGTCTTCTCTCCCTTCTCGAGTTTCGTATACCTGCCAGCCATCACGCCCATCGCTGAATCATATCATCGATCACTCGGTGAGCTCAACCTCACGGTAACAATATATCAAGTTATGCAGGCTGTGGCACCATTGTTCTTTGGCGATCTCAGCGATCAACTTGGCCGCCGACCGGTATACATGCTTACCTTCGCTATCTACCTAGGCGCCAACATCGGTCTAGCTCTGCAAAACAATTATGCGGCATTGATGGTATTAAGAGCATTGCAGAGCACGGGAAGCAGTGCTACGGTCGCCATCGGGAGCGCTGTAATGGCTGATGTTGCAACTAGCGCTGATAGAGGGGGTTATATTACAGCAGTACAGGCCAGTGTGCAGTTTGCGCCAGCGCTTGCCCCTGTGTTAGGCGGAATCTTGACACAATTCTTGGGATGGAGGTCAACTTTCTGGTTCTTGGTCATAGCGGCTGGGATATTTCTAGTTATCTATGTGGTCTTTGCACCCGAGGTAGGGTAATCAGGAACACTTGGAGTGAAGTAACGCTAATGAACATGGTAGACCGCTCGAAAGATAGTTGGCAACGGGTCCATCCCTCCGCCACGGATTAATGAATCTGTGGTAGATATCCTTCGACGGCGCCATACCCAACGTGATCTCGAACTGCAGAATGACGAGGCTACTAGACTTCAAATCTCAAAATCACGCAGGAAAATCCCCATTCCAAACATCTACGCGGCGGTCCTGATCGTGTTTGAGAAGGATGTCGGCCCGCTCTTACTTTTCATGTCACTCTTCGTCATGGCCAATTACTCGATGCTTGTCCCTTTACAAGACGTCATCCGGAGACAGTACAACTTCAATGATTTGCAGGTTGGACTTTGCTACATACCATTTTCGGTCGGCTCTATTGTAGGATCGACTATAGTTGGAAAGCTACTCAACTGGAACTACGCCAGAGTGGCAAAGTCCATTGGTGTTGCACCAGATCGGAAGAGAGGCGACGATCTGAGAAAATTCCCCATCGAAAGGGCTAGATTGGATTTAATGTGGCCGTGGACAACTCTTGCAGTGGCGATGATTATCGCCTGGGGCTGGGTGGTGAGCTCAGGAACAAGCCTTGCCGCACCCCTCGTTGTTCTGTTCTTTGCTGGTGCAGGACTCAGTGGACCCGTATCCATTCTCACCACGTTGCTGGTTGACCTGTATCCTATGAATCCTGGAAGAGTCTCGTCTACCTTCAACTTGACCAGAGCAACTCTGAGTGCTGTCGGAACAGCAGTTGTGCAATATATTATAGATGCCTGGGGTTACGGCTTCACATACCTCTTCATGGGCCTGTTAGTCTTGTCAGCAAGTCCATGCGTTTTGATTGTCCGGAAGTGGGGACCCAGATGGAGGGAAGAGAGATATCAAAGATTTGAGGGGAAAAGGTCTACATGATCTGTACAATAAGTAGGTGAGGCGTGGGTCCCATGTCCTCGCTATGGAGCCTTTCAAGCATATTGGTGGGTGTTACCAGAGGGCCTTGGTGATTAGCTGTGCCATTCAACTCGATATACAATACAATCTCGCTCGGCGCGCTGACCCAAGTTTTAATAGTGTTGTAGTGTCGTTCCTGAACAATTTATTCACTTACATGTCATTGCGCATCTTGGCTTATATCGCTAATGATGCATTAGGATCTCCTCATCTTTAGTCATCTATGTTACGTGAGAGTCATGGCGTAGAAAAAAAAAAGTTCGCGAGAGTTTCAGTTTGCTGAACGATTGATATCCGTGAGGAAATGCGTGTGCGTGAAGTCCGAAGCCGAGATTGAAAGCTTGACCCGTTGATTTGGGCTCGGAAGCACTTTGTAGGGGAAACTGGCAGGGTCAGAAGGCTCCACTTTAGTCACGACGGAGCCCCGAAACGGTGGACTTCGGTGAACTCGGTAGTCCGCACTTGGCTATCGGCCATCAAGGAGCACTGCCAATGCCGGCTTTGAGGCTGGCAAACAGCTCCGAAAATCATGAGCATGATCACATAGTTCAGACAGCACTCAATACGAGAAGCTTAGAAAGCAAACCCAAATTCAATATAAAAACCCTCTGGGCGAGATCCTCCTCTCGGCCATGTCGACATTGATTTGGCCCAAGATTGATATCAAATATTGAATAACTGATTAACTCTCATCCAGAGCAATAACGCCAACATCAAACATGGCTACAAAGTATGCTAAAGATCAAGCAAAGAATTTCTCAAACCACATTCAACGCGTTGTCATCACCGGAGTAAGGATTCTCTACTCTGCCCATCAGCCCAAGGCCTCCCACTCTGACCCCTTTTCATGACAGGCAAGTGGACATGTTGGCTCCCACATGCTCGAGCAGCTGCTCAAGAGCGGCATGCACAGTGTGACCACGCTCACGAGGGTTGGAAGCAAAAGCACATTTCCCGATGGTGTTAATGTTGTCCGCGTCAACTACGACGACGAGGCATCTCTAGTGTCAGCCCTGGAAGGTCAACAGTTCTTGATCATCACCCTAGCTTTCTCTGCCCCGCCAGACACGCACAGCAAGATCGTGAGGGCTGCAGCGAAGGCGGGGGTACCGTACATCATGCCCAATGTGTACAGTTCAGATATCATTGCCAATGAGAAGCTCGGAACTGAGACAATGATGGGCCCGGTTCTGCGACCTCTCATCACGGAGATTGAGGAACTTGGTGTCAGCGCATGGGTGGTGTTGGTCACCAGTCTCTGGTATCAATTCGGACTGACAGTGGGCCCTGAGTTTCTCGGCTTTGATATCAAAAACCGAAAGGTGACTCTGTACGACGACGGAAAGACGGCGATTCAAACCAGCACGTGGCCCCAGTGTGGGCGAGCTGTTGCCTCGTTGCTGAGCCTCAAGGAGCTGCCCGAGGACGACAGGGACACATCCGTTACGCTGTCTCGGTTCAGAAACAAACCCGTTTACATCTCTAGCTTCAGAGTCAGCCAGCGCGAGATTCTTGACAGCATAGAACGTGTGACAGGAACCACGGATGGCGACTGGGACATCAGCTATGAGGCAACCCCGGACCGTTATCAGCGCGGTCTAAAGATGATGCAACAGGGCGACATGCGCGGCCATGCCATGGCTATGTATGCCCGCATCTTCTATCCCAACGGCGGAGGCGACTATGAAGCGAAGCTTCATAACGATGTCATCGGTTTGGAGAACGAGGACCTCGACGCAGCCACAAAAGTTGCTGTTGAAATGGCGACCAGCGGCGTGGGTAGACCTTAACTACCGACCTCGGGCCTACCTTGGGTACCTAGATAGATGCCTAGGTATATAGAGAAATGCCACGCATGACGCCATTGCCTAGGATATTCCAAATGGATTCCAGCCCCTCAAGCAACAATTCGTTTTTAGAATTGATAGCATTCAAATGAACCAAGACCATGGCTCCTGTTCCAGGCGTGAGTATTTATCCATGTTGTTTGAATTTCGTGTGTCGTACCTATGCCTTAGATGGAATCAGAGTGGCAAATGTCATAGAAAGTGATTTCAGGTACCCTAATGGTAGGCAAATGCAAGTAGTCCGAGCTTTTTTGCGGCCTAAACCGATATGCGAATGGGCGGGCCAGACAGCGGGCTGACCATGACGAAATCCGGCACATGAGCTCGGAGGCCGGGACCCAACCACACACTCGCACCTCCACCGCACTCCTCGCCTCACAGGCCAGTCAGCCAAAGCCAAACGAAACTCAGGCTTTTGCACAATCGTCGTCCTGGTCCTGACCAGCGCCATGTTGTGGTGGGCATTCAAGGCCACACGAAGACGGTGACTGACAACAATGGCGCCGAGAGCGGCTGGCCTCAACAGCGAACACGAGCGTGGTCTCCTCGCATCCGCCGCGAGGCTCTGGACGGTATGTTTCCGTGCTGCCCGATGGTCCAGATCGACTCCGCTGATGACATGATAGGGGTCATATGCGCCAGACTACGTGGGCTTTCTCGCCCTGCTCGTCGCCTACATACTGGTCAGTAGTGATAGCTATCCAGTGGGGAAAGCATTAGTTGTGTTGGAGGATGGGGCTGACACGTCTATGCACGAGGACAGATGGAGTTTTTCCTCGAACCTTTCCACCGCATGTTCTTTATCAACGATCTTGCCATCTCTTTCCCACATGCCGAACATGAGCGTGTTCCTGTTGGTACGTGATAACTCGTCGTTCCAGGGCGGAGTGTTTCTAGGACTAATGCTAGCTTCTTTAGCGATGGAGTTTGTTTATTCGCTCTTTGTCCCTCTAGCGATCATAATTATAGCTCTCATACGACGTCCGTCTCTCCACAAGTACCATGTCACCATCCTTGGTTTCGCCATCGCCCTGATCCTGACCTCCTTCCTCACCGATTTCGTCAAGAATGCAGTTGGGCGCCCGCGACCCGATCTTGTGGATCGCTGTAAACCGGCACCGGGCACGTCGAGGGATGTTCTGGTTACAATCGAGGTGTGCACGGAAACAAGGCACCATGTGCTGCACGACGGGTGGCGAAGCTTTCCCAGCGGCCATTCGAGCTTCGCATTTGCCGGACTAGGCTATCTCAGTCTCTTCCTAGCTGGGCAACTACGCCTGTTCGTGCTCGGAGGTGGTCGTGGCGAGCAGGCAGATGGCAAAGCTATCTACGCGCGTGGCGATCTTGGCCGAGCTCTGATATGCTTGGTGCCGCTCATTGGAGCCGCTATGATTGCTATTAGCAGGTGCCAGGACTACCGGCACGATGTTTACGATGTCTGCACTGGTGCGTTGTTAGGCTGGGTGGTTGCGTATTGGAACTATCGGCGGTACTGGCCCAAGCTGAGCAGCAGCCACTGCGACGAGCCGTATCCAGGACCTCACGGTGCAGGTGTGTCGGGCAATGAGGCGCCAGGCTATGGACGCCTGCGTGATGAGGAAGAACGCGTCGGGCTATCTCAGAACGTAGGGATCGAATTGGCGCCTTTGAATACAAGCTAGGTGCTAATGATTGTCTTGTTTAGGCCCGTTGATCTGTCAGGTAATATTGCCCATATGGACTACGAACTACAGTTTCTTCATTTAGCCCCTATTGCAAAGTCATTGAGACAGCAATTACCTAGGGGCGCCAACTTATAAAATCTCAACTCGGAGGAGACGCTGGTTACACACGCATTGGGAAGCTTCTGTATGGTCATCTAGGATCTATTGATACAATGGGCATTACAAGCTGCTCTCTTTTTTCTCACCATGCTGATCGCCTACGATCATGGCATGCCTACTTGTCATCCGCACTCTCGTCTTTTGCGAGGTCGTGCTCCTTGAGCAGGGTCGTGATCTCATCTGCACTCCATAGCCGGTGGTAGATCTTGCCGTCCTTGGTCTGTCCAACCGTCGCGAACTCGACTGTGATGTATGATTAGCCAATACTCCTTCCATCATGCAGGTATATATAGTCAGTGACATACTCTTCTCGCTGCTTAACTTTGTCGAGTCCATCGTCTTGCTGAGCACCTTGACCGCCGTGCCACATGCCTCCTTCAGGGTGCAGTCTTCCTTGTAATCCTGCTTGAGCAAGCTGGATGCGCTGGCGTTATTGGCCCCCGCACTCGTTGCCTTCCAACCACCGTAATTGCCAGACGGGTTGCTCAGGTAGAGCTGAAACTGCCTCTGCGGATCCCAGCCCGCATAGATGAAGGAGACACCAAACGGGCGCAGACCGCCATGCTGTGTGTAGCCTTGCTTGAGGTCACAAAGCCTCCGCACCAGTTGTTCGCAGGGTATATCCTCGTTGTAGGTCAGGAGGTAGCGTTGCGCTTGCTGTCTGGCGTAGTTGATCAGGATGTTGGCATCGGCAGTCATTCCGGCGACGGCACAGATCATGTTGCTAAGAGAAAGGAAGAGAGAATGTCAGTTTCTGCGTGCAGGAGGCAAATCACGCCGTGAGGGGATGGCATACTCGTTGAGGATGTAGAGCTTCTCGGCTGAGGTATCCTGCTCCAGGAGCTTCGAGGTGACCTTCCGCTCGGCAGCCAGGACGATACCGTCCTTGGCCAGGATGCCAATTGCGGTGCCTGCATGTGAGATGGCCTCCAGAGCATACTCGACTTGGTAGAGGCGGCCTTCGGGGGAGAAGATGGTTGTCTGCGCGACATTTGTAAGCTCGTTGCACATAGGCATAGGCATAGGCACATGGACACATGACGCCGCCAAAGCTCTGGGCATGGAGATCTAGCACTTACGCGGGAGTCGTATCTTCTGGACATGGTGGCTGTCTTACGCAGGATAGTGTGCTGAGTTATTCAGGCTCGTCTCTGCGACTAGAATGATCAGAATGCGGAGAGGCTGTTGATGATGACGGACAGCCAGCTTCTGAGCAGCGCCAGCTTTGTTCGTCGCGGAGAGGCTGAGGGTATGCAGTTTGGCAAGGCTAGGTAGGGTACGGTGCTGCGTAAGTTCAGGTCGGTCGGTTGATGGTTGGAGCTCCAGGCAAGCGTAGCAACGCGTAGTGAGGTAAGGTACCTACGGTAAAGCTAACACCCTTACCTTGCGAGGCTTACCTAACTTTCTTCGCTAAGATACCTACCTAAGGGAGGTACCTAAGTAACGGTTAGCGGTTCTAGCTTACGCAGGACATGAAAAATACATTGGTGCCTTCTGAGGCGATATTCAAGCCTGAAATACTAGGCTGCAAGGTCAGATGTGGCTAGTAGGTGCCTTCCATAGTCGAGCAATCCCTTATTAGGTAATACAGTGCCTGCTACCAACCCTCAGTAGATTTAACCTGAGATAGATGGTAGGTACCCAGGGGCGGATCGGTCGTCAGTTCACCTGCTTCCGACCTCCACCTTTTCCCCATTCCCACTTCTCATCTTCCATCTCCCTCTCTCTCTCTCCCCTCGCAAATTGAGAACTGTCGCCTTTGCCTGACAAATTCACATCCGGGGAGTGTCCTAGCACCTCATCACTCAAACCTCACGCGTCGTCTTTACGGCCATCGTCCCCATCGCCAAAGAATTCGCGACGACATTCCTCTTCCTTTTATTTTTTATTTTATCCTTGTGTCGTGGCACACGAGCCCCGAAAAGCTTGGGCCATCCACCACCTTTGCCGAGCTCCATTTCATCTCTGCTCTCACCGCGTACTGCTCGGCCCGCGCAACACCATAAACAATACAAGACAACGCACTACAACGCAACGCAACGCAACGCAACGCGCAGCACCGCGCATCGTATCGCATTTCAGTACAGCAGGCATACCGAGAGCCGGTGCGCCACCGCGGAACGCCATCGAAAACAGGCTCCGTTCATCCAGACCCAGTTGGTAGTCTGCGCATCCGTTCGAGTGCTGCTAGCGTGAAAAGGTGGTTTTTGTGGGAAAGAGAGAGGATTCTGAGGGCAATCTGTGTGCCAGTTTCTTGATAGCTTCATTCCGCTTTTCCTGTGAAGTTGCTGCTGCTGCACTCGGCCCTGGTGCCCTGTCTGGCCAGCTCTCCCTGCGTGCGACCCTCACCGTAGATCCCCTCAAATGACCCGCGTGAAGCAACTTCCTGCGCTTGCCCTCTACCCTACCCAGTAAAGCAAAGCTTGAGCTTCACCACACACGCCACCCTGGAGGAATAGACCGGCGCGAGCCACCTCCGCGATCCTTACTACTACCACCTTCACTGCTACTTAGAAACCCCCCTCCGCGACGAACTACCTGCCAAATCTACTTATCCTGCACAATGTCCGGTAAGGCTGCCCCCAGGCGCATGACGCGTCCGGGAGATGGCTGGCCTCCTGAGCCTCCATCACCCTCCCTCCTGATGAAAAAGCATCACCAGCTAACAGATCATCATGATTGCAGGCGAGCCGGAACCTCGACGCTCGGTGCGCAGCACGAAAGGGCAGCACAAGGCACTCGACCAGCTAGAAACTCCCGCTGTCGACACAAAGAAGCGCGGCAAGAAGGGCAAGAAGGCCATTGAAAAAACCGAGGAACCTGAGGAGGAAATCATACGTTGTGTCTGCGGAGCGACAGAGCAAGATGAGGACTCGGGCGAGCCTTGGATTGCGTGCGACAAGTGCGGCGCCTGGCAACACAACGTCTGCATGGGCATGAGCGTCTACTCCGAGGACCTGCCCAGCGACTACTTCTGCGAGCAGTGCAAGCCGGAAGACCACAAAGAACTGCTCGAGGGCATCGCAAAGGGCGAGAAGCCTTGGGAAGCAAGACGCCGGGCTTATGAGGAGGAGCAAGCCGAGAAGAAGAAGAAGAAGGGTTCCAAAAAGGGCAAGAAGCGCCAGAGCGATTCTCAAGATGAGCCGCAATCATCCCAGAAGTCCAAGGCATCCCCAGCCCCAGAGAAGAAAGCAATGACATCCAAGATACTGACGGCGGGGACAAAGCGAAAAGACCGAGACGGTTCCCAAGACAAGGATGCCAAGGTGCGTTCAGCGCTGTATGTACGCGTGACGATTTGCAGTCTACTGACAGGAGATATAGGCAACCCCAAAGATGCGCAAGGTCTCTGAGACCAAGGTCATGCCCGTTCCACCACCATACAACCCACCTGATGACCTCCCGGACAAGATTACTGAGCTTCCCCAGCCGCGTCAAGGCCCGGCCCAAGCACTTATGAAGTCTTTGGTAGTCGCGGTTAATTCCGCCGAGAAAAAGAAGGTGTACAGCCCGGCTGATGGTGTATCCAACGAGTCGAGGGCTGAGCGACTGTCAATTGCGATCGAGCGAGCGGTTCATGACACACATCCAAATCACAAGGAATATACCGCTCAGGTCCGGACTTTGACATTCAACTTGAAGAAAAATCAGGAGCTCTGCGAGCGGCTACTCAACCACACGCTCACTCCGCCAATGCTCGCTGCCATGACCACAGAGGAGCTAGCTTCCGAGGATTTGCAGCGAGAGACCGCCGAGATGAAGGCGCGGGCAGAGAAGCAATCTATATTGATCACAGAAGAGGGACCGCGCATGAGGCGCACACACAAGGGTGATGAAATGGTTGCGGATGATAACTTTGCCATTCCTAGCGATGAAACACCGTCCGTTGCGCGTCGACCAAGTGTCCGAGAACCTCTCGGAGATTTGGCAAGGCCGTCAGAATCCGATCAGTCGCGGGACGCTGCTGCGCCTACAGTGGATACCACTCAACGTTCAACATCAGGGGATGCTATGCAGATCGATACCCAGCACTCCCCAAGCGCTAACAACTTCGACATTAAGAAGGTTTTCTCAAGCGTGAAGTCCCCCACCGCAGGCCACAATCGCCGACCATCTGCTCCTGCACCTCTCAGCGGCCCAGGTGATGATCCGGACGTTGATCGTTTGCTAGAGGAGGACGGCAATGACTCGCCACCGTACTCTCCGTCTGAGGAGACAGACCCTGATGTCGTATGGCGAGGATACCTCACAATGCCCTCAGTAGCCAATTTCCAGGCAACGGCAAAATATGCTGGCGGTGCCAATCTTGCCAGGACTATTGGCTTGCCGTGGAGCACTCTCATCCCTAAGCGTTTGAAGGTTGCTGGACGGATATCTGAAGAAAATGCAACCGAGTACCTTTGTGGCTTACGCTACAGCGCCCCCACGGACATTGTTGTTGCAAGCCTTACACCGGCAACAGACGCTTCGAAAGCGGATTTCGACGCGTTGGTGAACTACTTTGTATCTAAGAAAAGGTATGCAGTTGTCGGAGACAAAGGCATAGCAAACGTCAGAGATACATACGTGATCCCTGTCTTGGCCGGAACTGGAAACCACCCGGAATTTATGCTCAACCTAGAAGATAATCTGATACCCCATACTCGAACCGAGAACATCTTGCTTCTTGTCATTGTGTATCGCAATGATCCGGGACAGATGGAGAAGCTTCATGGGCCCAACTGGGCAGTCAAGGCACCACAATCACCGACCACGAACACCTCGACTCCAACTCCGGCAGGCTTCGCCCAGCGAGCCCCGTCCATCTCAGCGCCTGCATTCTCTCCGACTTCACCACATGGGCCTGTTCCTGGCTATCCAGCTTCGCATCAAAGCCATACTCCTCAAGTCAATCCACAACTTCCGCACCGTGCGCCTTATGGCAGTCAGGCAAACTCTCAGTCACAACAACAGAAGCACTCATCTCAGCCAATCTCTCGTGAAGCCGCACAACAGCAAGGGGAGGCCTTAGCCCACGAGATCCTCGGTCCGCTTATAGACAGTCCAACAGTTTCATTTCTCCTTCCACAAGCGCATCAAATGACCCGCAATGAGTGGGAGGTGGTTCGCAAGCTCTATGAGCGTGAGCCCAAATCCAGGGAAGACCTCACACACTTGAGCCAATTGCTCGAAAAAGAAGGCGGGAATGCCCAGTCACAGGCGCCACACGCGTCACACACGCAACAGCGTTCTCACGTCCCCCATCCACCACAACCTTCAATCACACCCACTACGGTCACTCCGGCACATCCTGTTCCGAGTACTGGAAGCGGTGTGCCTCACCTCATATCACGCACACCAATTCCTATCCCCGTACCTCCTGGGATGCCGGCGTCCATCGCTCAAGCACATCAAGCTGCTCAAGCTAATCATAATCGAGTTCCTCCACCAGCCGCGCCGCATGCACCCGCCACCTTACCGCAGCATTGATCAGTAACATGTTAGGCTATAGTCGATATTCCATGAGGCTTTTATAGTACCCGATTCTTCACTTTCTCCCAAGTACACATTGACCTGGATTTGAGGGCCCTTCAAATCGCTTATCGATTTGAAGGGTCAAGAACTGGCCGAGTAGTTTCCAGAGTAGACGATCTTACGAGTTTTGCCGGATATGGTCAGGTTGTGTGACCAGTGGGTGGAGCGAGATATGGTGCATATCTGAACGGTTGTGTATTGATAGGTAGTTGGCTTGGCTCTATGTACTCTTACTTAATTAGCAAATGCTCTGTTGAAAAGTACAGCGCAGATTATATCTGCGGCTTCACTTTGACAACATCGTGACTTGTTCACAAGCCTAGGTGACCATAACATACCTATGACCCTCTATCAGTTGTCTAAGATAATTCATTTTCCTCACCTCACTTTGGAGCCAATTCCCCGTGCTTGTCGATTGCTAATATTAAACATCTACTATCCGTTCTCCTTCATCATGCTTCATGCCTCCAAGCTTTGAATTGAAGTGCTAGGAAGCGGTCCCAAATAACTTGGTTGGAGGCCACCAAAATCCACTACCAGCTTTTCTAGTATCAGTCCAGGTACAAGTGCCCTATACTTCACAGAGTAGCTGCCAGAGCTGATAGCTGGGAAAGTAATCTTGCGCACCCACACCCCATCTTGAAGGAGAGTACGAATATTGGGAACTCCAGGTAAGGAATATCGGAGGCGATCGATTTCGCCAGCGTGATGCCGCCAGTTACTGTCCTGCCGAGATAAGGCAGATGCTCATAAAATTGGTGCCGTGTGTCTGTCAACAATATCGAGCCCGCCTCTATCGAGACACAACCCTCAGACTCGACAAAACCATGGTGAAGGCTTGCCGGGACTCGTCGATTGTCGACTGGTAGATGGACTATCTCATAATCTCCTAGATCCGATCTAATTTCAATTCGTACTGTATTTTGGAAGTCTTGGGGAACTTTGTCCCAACTGACAGATATTTCGATGAGCTGGTGGTCCTCATCTTGCGGCGACAGTTGTCCAGTCTCTTGCCTCACACTAAGCCACTTCTTATTCACAAGTATCTGCCAATCAAAAGCTTTAGTTCCGCGTGTGAATATCTGAAAATATCGATATGTGTGGCTGTACCGGCTGAGAACCTGCATGGTTAGTCCAGGAATTAGATCCGGAACAGCTTTTGCAAGCGTCTTCAGCTGCTCAAACTTCTCTGGAAATTGCTACTGTTGCCTTCGTGGCCAATACATGGCCCAGCATCGAGGCTGCTTACATTGATCCAAATCTCAAACCGTCCACGCCAACAGTCACCCCAGTTACCTCTGTTGGTACGAACTTGGCAGACTATGATCGATCAGTTTTCCGCACAAAGGGTGGGCCGTTCTTTTTCAATGGCATCCAGCTGCGAGCAGACAAGGTTCGGGGTGTCTCCCAATCCGCGATCAAGTCGATGTACCAGACCACTACAGATGATGGTTTCACAGTTGTCAACACTCAGGTCCTCTGGAGTGATATCCAGCCTGACAAGTCTTTTAATGCCACTGAATCAACGTATATCCGTGGTGGAACCTATGCTAGTCAGAACTTTGTGTCCAGCACTTCGGATCTAATTCGATATCACTACGGCGAGGAGTCCAATAAAGCCCTTACCTATGTGAAATTCGACTTCTTCAGCTATAGTGGTACTGTTGATGCCGCCAAAGTACGCTTCTATGTTGACTCGGCTGCTCTCCCTTCTACATTTTTCTCCGTCAGCTTTATGGCATCACCAATAATTCTTGGTCATCATCGTCACTTACATGAGCTCGGGCACCGAATCACAATGGCATCGCCATTGTTTGGAGGAATAATACAGATTACTTCCTTGCCTCAGTTAGTCTAATTTCGGATTTAAATACTTTCTACTGGGTATTATGATTTTGATGCAACAGACTTCGTCAAGAAGTATTGCCCCAACAAAATTGCAACTTTCATTCTCCAAGTATCGACTAATACCACGGATGCCCCAATCGGTGCATCCGTGAGCGGTGCGAGTGCAGCGCATCCACCTAAACTTGTGTTATCAGACCAAACACGCTTCGATTGGATTTATATCGATACTTTGATTGAATGGGCAGAGGCTGCCAGCCTGAAACTTGAGTTCGTTTGGTTCGGCTCCGATTCCACGGGTGTTACCATACTTTGCTTTTCTTAATACCAAGAACGAAAAGATCAACAGTGATGGAACACACACCCCGCTATTCACCAAGAATACCGATCCGGCATATGGCGTGTATTGGTATTTCCTCGACAAGAATTTTCTTACGACTAGAGCCCAAGAGAAAAGTGCCATTAAGAACATATGAACCATGTTGCTACATATGACAATGTGCACGGGAAGAAGGCTGCTGTGATTGGCGTCAACGTTGCCCAAGAGCCTGGCATACAGAAATACCACGGCTCAGCGTTCATTGCGTGGCACAGCCCAAAGACATGGGCTGCACTATCCAACTTCTCCTCAGTGCAGGCATTCGTCGACCGTTACAATGTGGGAATCTGCGTGAATCTCGCCAACGCCGTCAAGGAGTCCAACTATCTGGTTTGGACAAGATCCAACGATTATCATGGGGCCCATCTGACGTACAACGAGGCGCGGAGGGCGACGGTGGGCACCAGTCTCGACTGTATTGGCCACGACCTGTGCAGCGACTCATTTACCTCTGCATTCAACTTTGGTCACACAGCGTCCTGGGATAGTAAAGACTTTTCGGCGGGCAGAAATGTCCCTACGATCATGGAGAACTCAGGTGCCTTGACCGATGGGCACGGTGTCTTGCTCGCGGCACTAGCGGGCGGAGCGCTCTACGACGTTTACGATTTTATGAGGTCCGATAACTTGTGACTATACGTTCCGAGAAATCAGAGTGCAGGGGATTTTGCTCCTATTGCCCGCGGATCTTACGTTACCGATGTTCTCAACACGAACATCATGCTATTGAAGATCTCCCGGGACTTGGCAACGAGACTTCCATATGGGGCCGGGGGCACTGGCTTGAACTTCTTGAAACTTTGTTGAACCAAACGAGCACTACCTCGTCTTTTGGGAATGTAGGTATTGCATACTCGCCAGTGAGTGTGCGCTCTGTCGCCATCGTTGATACCAGACGTGACGTGGAGGCGCTCTTCATAGCAATGGCGAGGCCACATACAAACTATCTGGAATCACAGCCTATGGCATTAGCCCTGTGCAATCTGGATACTACGACGGTTCTGTTTGTGTGAATGACGGGACAATCTCCTACAGCACATCTAGTAGCAGCATGTCATTCGAAATTTCGGCGGGACAGTGCATTCGTGACTAAGATGGATGTCTCATAGCTATAGGGGTGGGCTTCGCCCAGGATGTGATATAACAAAAAGAAAATTATCCAGCCCGATTATTATCAGACTTTTACCTTCTGAAGAAATCGTGAACATGCCTTCCTTACACTGAGGTCAGACTTAGACCATCTCTCATTTCAAGTTCAAAGTCGTGGCGGCATATGGAGAATGCTTTCTCGGTTTATTATAGAATACCAAGGCAAAACTACGGCTAATCATCTTTCTTCATCAGCACTTATCGACTAATAGAAGGATATGATGGCCTGAAACCAGGTTACTTCACGAGAACAATAACGGTTGCATCACGAATTAGTCACAATCTAGCAGCGGGTAGGAGGATAGATTGCAGCTTATCTTCCAATCCTGCTTCAGGAAAGCTATAAGACTTGCTGTGGATGAAATAGTGGGAAGCCATGCATCAGGGCCAGCTGTTGAGAGATTTGTTGAAATTTCATCGCCTTCGGCGCAGATCCTTCAATGTGCTACATTAAGATGAACGTTTTAGATAGCTTCTCAAAAGTATCGGAGGCCTGTCCGAATATTTCGTCTCTCAGCTTAATCGCAATAGGAGAGTAACCGCGGGTTAAGGCTTAAAAAAATCTAGGACGTGTCTACCATTAACAATGTCTTGTGTATTGGTATCAATAGCGATGAAGCCCATTATGGAAAGAGAATTCTCCATTAAAGTTAAGAGATTTAAAGACCCAGAACTAATAGTCATATTGACTGTGGCCTAGGGAAATCATCTGACATACTCCTGTCGGCCTAGCTATGTGGTATTCATCAACCACAAAGCAAGGTTAGAAGTGAATGCATGAGCTGAGACGCAATAAGTCAGGGTTATGTGACAGTTTTCAAGTGACAACAACAATGACAACGCCAATCAATCCTGATCGCTGGTATACCTATGCTGACCTCGATACCAAAACGACTAGTCATAATGATCTGTCGCTCCTATCTTCAGTCAGGACGGCAGGTAATGTTATCCGGGCATCCTGGGCAGTCTCGCTATTGTGGCGGCTATCAAGAGGTTCTTAAGCAGTCCGACTTGTGGGAATACTGATCATTGCATTGCCTGGACCCGTCAATCCATGTCGAGAGGTATCTAAGCAGCACCAACATCTCAAGGTTGGCCCGATCATGGTGCATTCGAGGTGCGTCTAGGCTGGTTCGCATCTTTGTAGAACAGCCTGCATCACACGATCACATCCAATTGGGTAGCTCCTAGTCTGCTTTAGGGAGCATGATCGTAACCCGCATCAGCCACGCTAAACCGAGTCTCTCAGCAACTTCGCATTTAGCAGTAGTCTTGAGGTATACCCATATCGGCATACGGTGCGTTTGGGACGTCCTCGGCGACAACAAGCGTGAGTTGGTGGACACGAGTCCGGGTATATAAAGCACGAGAAACAGCTTGCGTCGTTCTCTAAGCGAATTCGGCGTCAATCGTTGCCCATAGATCCCGCTCACTCTCCCAGTATGCTGCTTCTTTCTGTTCCTCGGCAGAGCCGGGCCTTTCACCATTAGCGTCGCCAATCAGAGTCGCCTGGTCGGGGACTTCGATGCTGCCCAAGCCCTCGAGGACTCGTTTTGCCTTGTCGGTGGCTGCTCTCACGGCAGCCGTCTCGGCCCTTGTCTTGTCCAATTGTGTTTGCATCAACGCAATCAGGCTCTCTCTCGCCTGATGAGGGCGGTACTCGTTCACAACATGGTGGAAGTTGATGAAGAGATTACGGATATCCGTGACTTTCTCTTCAGCCTGGCCGGGGTTGGTGCCGAGGACGCCGAGCAGCTCTAGGAAATTGAGCAGGATAGACTTGGCAAGACGCTTCAGCTCAAAAGCTCGATCGGTGTGCTTATCGGTGGAACTCGGCTCGGGCGCCTGTGGCACAAGCCGCTCGATACCCTGCTCTTCAAGGGCTGGAAGTTCGTCTTTGATCTGGATATTTCCTGTCAGCACGTGTTGTTGCATCCCAAGACGGATTCTAATCTCTGCATACCGTATATAGATCCCCAAAACATCTCCACTGTCCCAGAGCGGGCTCGGGAGGTGGCTGTAGGTTGGTCAGGTCCTCGGGAAGATCTGGGATCCTCCAGTCTGTCGTGGTCTCAACAGCACTTCCTGGCTGCCCAGCGCGCGTCTTTCGAAGGCTTTCAAGCCTAGAGACCCGATCAGGTGTGAAGTCGTGCCAGAAGTGCGGCGGGTTGGGGAAGGTAGATGCCAGGGAGCTCTGCGTTGGTTGCTGATCCGCCATGGCGAACGATAGTCGCTGTCGTGGTCGTCGGGAGGCTTTGTTTCGCTGCTGGAGAATGGTCGTCGAGTGAAGTCTCTCAGGCGCCGCTTCGAAGAAGGGAGTGCAGCGGGAACAGGCGGCAATCGAGTCACGGAACAGATAGCGTTGACCCTCCTTGCTCGCCCATTTGAATCCTCTTTCGATTGCGCTCGACTTTAGATCAGTCGCCAGACCAAGCCTCGTGCTCTGGTGCCCTCCGCGCAAGGCTACTTGGCTTCAGCTGCGATCGTGAAGCTGCAGAAAGGTGAAGGTTCAAAGTGGCTGAAGCTACACCAAAGTACACAGTAGCCTGCCTGCCGGTAGCTAGGTACAGTATTTGTGGCTTGCCTTCCTCCTGCTACAAACCTTAATTCAGTAGGCGGTAATCGACTGCTAGGTGTGGCGGCCGTCCCTAAAAAACCCTGGAGCCCCCAAATCAAGGCTGACTACCCCAGTAGGGACAATTGATACTGTTCAGCTCACATCCTACCGCCATCAGCCTCAACCTGAAGAGCCTCGCGAAAACACCGCTTTCCCCAGCCATTGAGGCGCCTGTCGAACAGGCACGGCTCAGCCTCCTCCGATCCTCGCTTCTCGCATCTCACATCTCACATTCCGTCCCCGTCCTCTCCGTCACGGCCGGAGCCCTCATTCCACCGTGTGCCCCGCCATGGCCGACGCCCGCTCTCTCCTCCGGCAGCAGCGCGCCGCCCGGCGCATCGAGCACCCTCACGCCGCCTACTCAGACGCCGGCAAGCTTCTCTGCACGACATGTCATGAGCATGTCAAGGCAGACTCGCTATGGGATGCACACATCCGAAGTCCCGGCCACCGCCAGCGCGTGCAAGCCTCCAAGACAAGTGGAGCGAAGCCCACCGAGACGCTCACCGACGAGCAGCTCCTCGCGCAAGCGCTGGGTCAGAAGCGGAAACATCCCGTAGACGAGGATGGAGATGATGAGATGCTGGACGATGGCCAGGAAGAGGCCATCCGGAAGAAGCGGAGCAGGCAGGATATAGCCTCAACAGCCAGCACCGGGCACCCGTCTCCCGAAGGCAATGGCGCAAGGATCGACTCGGATGCAGAGTCGGGAAAGACCTTGGCCGCCCAGTCTTCCAAACTTACACCTCCCGGACTCACTCGCCGGGTGTCTGGAACTCCGGTGCACGGAGTCGAAATGCAGATCCCATCTCGGCCTGCGACACCAAATGCCCCCAGCGGCGCGGCGACTTCCGCGACCTCAACACCTAAAGTCACTCCAGTCGGGAGAAGTCCCCTGATACCACAAGATCATCATAACCAGTCTACTTCTATAACAGCAGGAGAGAGCACGCGGCCGCCGACAAGACTGGCAACCACGGCTGGGGCAGACGAGGACGATGATTGGGCTGCGTTCGAGGCGGAGGTTGTCAACACTGCCCCTGCCGGGGCCACGGCATCTGCCTACTCGGCCGATGCGGTCATCTCTGCTGCACCCATGACAGCTGACGAGATTGCACAGAGGTCACAAGAGGAGGAGCGTGCCAAACGGCGAGCGGCCGCTGATATTGAAATCGAAGACGAGAAGGAAGAAGCTTCACGTGCTCTTGAAACAGAGTTCGAGGAGATGGAGGAGCTCGAGGCCCGGGTCAAACGACTCAAGGAGAAGCGTGAAGCACTTAGATCCCAAGGCAGCGGCAGTATAACAGCTGTCAGCACAGCTTCTGCGCCAGCCAAGCAAATAGAAGGCAAAGAAAACGGAGCTGGGGCTCTAGAGGATGAAGACGACGATGAGGAGGAGGAGGAGGACGATGAGGATGATGACTGGAACAGCTTCAGGTTTCGGGCTTGATAAAATCACCATTGAATGGCGTTGAGGGAATACAAAAGGACCGCAAATGCTGACGGGCAACACATCGATTTCACGAGGATGCTCGTCGCTCTGTACATTATACATGTGTATCATAAACCCAAAATACATACCTAACGCCTACGGGGTGGTAACAGCTCCAATCTGTGGCACAGAATATACCGTTGACGCCATCCTTTACCATGCCCTACTGTGAACTCCAGAATGAACAGACGAATCCCCGTCAAAAACATCCTGGTACCTGCAGGCTATCATTCTGTAGGGATTAAGTGCTATGCATCTTGGACTAGATGGCCTGGATTTCGCCTCGACCGACTCGTTCCCAGAACCTCCGCAATCGCCAGACCCGGCCGACGCCGACCCGTTCTTCCCAGCGTTTGATACCTTCGGCCTTCTCCTTAACCCTCCGTTCCCATACCGCACCAACCCACCTTCTCAGCCCATCTTTGACTCGCTCCCTTTCCACGGCTCTCTTCTTGGCTACGATGGCAGGAGCGACTTTTCCAGGTCCGTCCTGGCCGGGTATACACTCCGGTGGCAGCACGCAGCGCTCGACGAGCACCTCAGGTGATGGCCTGACAGCCAGGCGTCTAGCAAGCCGTATGGCCACGAGAGAGCGCGCCAGTTTACGAGACACGACAGTTGTATGAGTCAAGAAGATGTGACGAGCGATGAGATCGGCAAGGGACGGGCGTGATGGCGAATAGAGAAGAGGGGGCAAGATTGCACGGGTACGCCGAAGGCGAAGAGCATGAAGAATAGGCGCTAGAGACAGCGTACGGAGTTGACGAGACGTCTGCCGTCCATTATCAGCCTTGGGACGTGATGATGTCGTAAAGGCGCGCAGTATCAGAAAGATATCAGGGGTCAGAGATGATGCCTATACGGCAGGAGCAGCAAAGGGTGGACATGAGACGCACAGAGGAAGAGCCACGCGTGTATGAAGATAAAACTCGCGGGCTCAAGCAGACATGTGAAGCAAAGCACAGATTGGGGGGACACATACTCGTGATGTTGCCAGCAGATCACAAACCTCGAGAAATCCCAGAATGTAGAGCAAGACCTCGTTCGGTAGATCAGAGAGCGATACAAGAGGCGTGCGGTGGGGTCTGTCGATCCAGGGATGAACGGGGAAGCTCACTGCAGGCCAAGCACTGCTCCTATCAAAAACCTCTGAGTTGTCCAAGAGGCAAGAGCTCATCGTGTTCATCATTTCGTCATGTTGCAAGTTAGCAACCCCGCCTTGTACATAATGTACCGCGACTAGGTCTTCCGCGATTGCTCGAGGGGCCAGTTGGGCATCAGCGGCGGGGTCCTCGGCAGGGGAATCATTGTCCTCGGGTGGCTGTTCAGGGGACCTATTACATCTCATGCGGCTGTTCTGGTCACCAGCAGGCAGAGGGTCGCTCTCGGACCTGGTTTCGCTGGCGATCTGCTGGAGTGAATTGCTGTCCGAGTATGTAGTGGACATGGAGTCGTGGTTCTGAGAGTCACGGTTGGCTTGTGACGACGATGATGATGGCCGTGACGACAGCTGTGGTTCCGCTGGAGTTGCGGCATGGAGGTGCATGCTCAGTGAGGCGGACATGTTGATCTGGCAGTCGAACGTCTTGTGGCTGGTCACAGCAGAGACAAGTCCACCGGTGGAACTCGAGCCGGGTCTAATGCCAATGCGATCTCCACGGGGCGCGTGGGGTGATGGCTCCAGATGTTAGGGGGAGAGGAGAGGAGAGCGAGAAGGAGCAGGAGGCGGCCGTAGCGAGGTAGCTGGCGGTCGTGTGCCCGCCTCCGCGAGCTGTCCCGGCTGTGTACGTGTACTCTGGTGGTATAATACTCAGAGTAGAGTGATAAGGGCGCCGAGCACCTAGCCCAGGTAGGTGGTAGTTGGTAAGATAATTGAAGCGGGCTGTCCTCGTCGACAGGCGGATCGCGCGGCAAGAGCAGACTGACTCTCTGGCCGTGGAGAAAGACTGGCAGCACGTCTACCGACACAGGTGGAGCGGCGTTTCGGGGATCGTGGCGTCAACAATCGAGGCAAACGCGCAAAGGGCGTCAACTGAGCTGGGCTAGGCTGGACTGGACTGGGCTGGACTGGACTTGACTAGAAAGGCACGGCCAAAGGCGGGGCGGCCCGGTGGAGGAGGAGATCGCGAGTCGGTCGAGGGGTGAGGCCGAGGGGAGAAGCCGAGAAGGCTGAGCCTGGCACTCTGTCAGTACATGACAACACAGTATCACATACAATCAACACCCAGGGGTCATTGGAGAACGGTACCTACTGTAGGTAGGACCCAGTTGCTATACCCGGGGTAACATGAGGTGAGGTGAAGCAGGTACCCAGGGTACGGCAAGCAGGTATTCTCCTTGTGGCAGGCTAAGCTACGCAGGCGGGTACCAAGGGAGCGAAGCTCTTGGAAGATGTGTCCTATGAGAGGATATGGCTGGCGGACTGACTGCCTTGCGAGGTGACGTGTAAGTAGGCTTGTCTGTCCTGAAAGGATGCTTGTGTTCCTGGATGATCGTGCTGGCAGACGAGGTACCCGAGGTAGGTAGACTAGAATGGCAACTCCGCTGAGTTTGGATTGGCGGCGTCACTTGTCATAGGTAGTATAGAAGAAGGAGGACGCTCTTGACGTTGTGAAGCAACGAGGCAGGTACAGACAGACAGGCGCGGTGAGTCGGCCTGTCCTAAGGCCGGTTGGTAGTAATGTCGTGATGTTGCAGTGGTGGTGGTGGTGATAGTACAGTTAGGTAGGTTGGTAGGCAGGCGGCGGCTTGCTTTCGCCGAAAGCAGACCGATCGATGGGGCTGTCTGGTTGGCTGGCACTGGACGCGTGCATGGACATGGATTGTGACACAAGCTGCGTCACATATGACAGGGATCACTCTGGGTGTTCCCGATCTAACCTTATAGTCCTCTACCTACTTACTGTACACTAGGTAGGTACGTACCTGGGCTTAGGTACCCCGGTACCCTGGCTCGCCTGGCACCTCAGGGTGCGTACTGACAGCCCCTCTCTGGTTAGAGTGGATTTAGGCAACCTAGGCACTATGCAGATAGTGTGTACAGTGGGGTCCCCCGCCATCATCCATGGAACCTCGAGTACCTCGAGTACCTTTTTTAGGTATCGAAGTTTCTACCTAAGCCCGGTAGGTATTCTCTTATCTTAGGTCCCCAAGACATTCGGCCGCGAGGTACCTTCCTCCTATCTTAGGTAGAGAAGTTGGGAAGGTACCAGATTCGATGATCCCTTCCACATCGTGATCTCAGCCTACTTTCGTATTTTTGTCCCTGTCATCGGATATTGAGAGCTCTCGTAAAATGGTCCCCGGCATTCAGAGCCAGGGCAGTCCATCAAGAAAGCTGATCTGCTATAGCAATCGACCAGCTCCAGCCGTTGCGCTCACCACGATGAAACATCATGAACCACCACACGACACCAGTAGTATATCACAACAGGAGCCGCTAGGTATTCACTGACTTTCAGCCTCACTTCATGGATATGCTTGGGTTTTAGCTGATTGATCTATCCATGCATGCCAAGTCACTCGACTAAATCCAGCGTAAAAGCTCTTTGGTGCTTCACATGACAACACCCCTGTGTTATGTGATGCCATTCCAAATAGCCTAGACAGAGCTACTGCTACGATACCCCCGTTCCCATAAAGAACACAATAGAATACTCACTGTAACAAGAGAGGTCCCTGAAAACCCTTTCTGCTTTCTTGTCGATGCTGTGGCGAGAAGCTAGCGATACAATCTCATTTTGAAAGGCTCACTCTCTACATAGCCCTCCAATCCTAACAATCCATTGGATCAGTCACCTTGAGATATAATCTTGAGCCTATATCTTCTGCGTAGTGGCAGGCGCCGATGATAACTGTGTCGTCTTGCTGTGAAATGACGGTCATGATGTGATAATTGGACTCGCGTTATGTTGCAACACCCCCTTCTGCCCATTCCTCTGCCTATTCGGAGCTTCATACTACCTACTATCCCAGTAACCAGGAACCCGTCGTGTGTTACACAGCTGCCTCCCGCATGCCTAACCTCGCCTTACCTTACATGGCCTTACATTCTTCAGGCCCGCGGTATGTATGTGCATGTATATGCGCATGTGCATGTGTATGTGAGTATAATCATGAGTTACAGCGGAGTACCTGCACATGAGCCGCCTGCTCTTTTCTCGCAGCAACTTGTCTTACCTCGTGTGCCAGCCGGTCACTCCCGGCAGGCTTTCTCGTCCTCGTCTCATACGATGTGGTGCTGTGATGTGCTGTGCTGTGCTGTGCTATGTTGTGCTGCAGTGCATTGCAGCAGTCTTCTCTGCCACTACGCCATTACCGGTGAGGCGTAGCACCATCTAGTAACGAGAGCAGTGAAACCGGACAGAAGATTGACAACCAAGTGGACCTAGGGCGATGTAGTTCCCTGCCGTGCAGTACCAGCCAGGCACTTTAAGCAAGAGAATATAAGTCTAATGCCAGCCACATTCATGCGGGCCCGCCGAAATCCACGATGTTGCAGGTGAGGAGGATCCAAGTATTCCTCCATAGAAAAATCGAGTGTGCGTATGGCGGGTTCATGTGTAATCATGGCCACCCCTGTCCGCAAGGCAAACAAGATGAGGCGAAGGACCTTGGCTATCGCAGGAAGAAACAATTTGCCCCGGCTCATTATCTTGACTGTCTGTTTCGTGGAATAAGTACCTGTTCTGAATGCGTCGGAGAATTCGTGCCCAACTGGCCCCCGCTGGCCCCTGCGGTCTTTGGCACTAACTTCCGTAATATCAACTCGGTTGATATTCCCTTCTGTGCTGTTCATTGCGGCACAAGGTTGGTTATGTTGCGCTTATGTCCGTGAACTGTGACGTGTTAATCGACCAGGTCTCCAAAACTGGCCATCACAGCTTATCACCTCACTGATATTGCCGAACTGGGCTAGCGAGACTTGTCAAGCATAAACAGAAACCCCGGTCCAATAT